TTTGCAGATCTTCTCCAAGTCATGAAGGTTTCGAGGCTGACGTTTGGCAACTCGAACCTTCAGCTTCCTCCACAAATTTTCTATAGGATTAAGGTCTGGAGACTGGCTAGGCCACTCCAGGACCTTAATGTGCTTCTTCTTGAGCCACTCCTTTGTTGACTTGGCCGTGTGTTTTGGGTCATTGTCATGCTGGAATACTCATCCACGACCCATTTACAATGTCCTGGCTAAGGGAATTAGGTTCTCACCCAAGATTTGACGGTACATGGCCCCGTCCATCGTCCCTTTGATGCGGTGAAGTTGTCCTGTCCCCTTAGCAGAAAAACACCCCCAAAGCATAATGTTTCCACCTCCATGTTTGACGGTGGGGATGGTGTTCTTGGGGTCATAGGCATCATTCTTCCTCCTCCAAACACGGCGAGTTGAGTTGATGCCAAAGAGCTCCATTTTGGTCTCATCTGACCACAACACTTTCACCCAGTTGTCCTCTGAATCATTCAGATGTTCATTGGCAACTTCAGACGGGCATGTATATGTGCTTTCTTGAGCAGGGGGACCTTGCGGGCGCTGCAAGATTTCAGTCCTTCACGGCGTAGTGTGTTATCAATTGTTTTCTTGGTGACTATGGTCCCAGCTGCCTTGAGATCATTGACAAGATCCTCCCGTGTAGTTCTGAGCTGATTCCTCACCGTTCTCATAATCATTGCAACTCCACGAGGTGAGATCTTGCATGGAGCCCCAGGCCGAGGGAGATTGACAGTTCTTTTGTGTTTCTTCCATTTGCGAATAATCGCACCAACTGTTGTCACCTTCTCACCAAGCTGCTTGGCAATGGTCTTGTAGCCCATTCCAGCCTTGTGTAGGTCTAAAATCTAGTCCCTGACATCCTTGGAGAGCTCTTTGGTCTTGGCCATGGTGGAGAGTTTGGAATCTGATTGATTGATTGCTTCTGTGGACAGGTGTCTTTTATACAGGTAGCAAGCTGAGATTAGGAGCACTCCCTTTAAGAGTGTCCTCCTAATCTCAGCTCGTTACCTGTATAAAAGACACCTGGGAGCCAGAAATCTTTCTGATTGAGAGGAGGTCAAATACTTATTTCCCTCATTAAAATGCAAATCAATTTATAACATTTTTGACATGCGTTTTTCTGGATTTTTTTAGTTGTTATTCTGTCTCTCACTGTTCAAAAAAACCTACCATTAAAACTATAGACTGATCATTTATTTGTCAGTGGGCAAACGTGCAAAATCAGCAGGGGATCAAATACTTTTTTCCCTCACTGTATTTGTGTTTGTGTGAGACTGATGGAGCCTGATTGGTTGACTTTGTGAGTGGAGCGTGCGTCCTGACATCGTTAGCCGCTTGGTACCACCTTCCCTCATATTTACCGGGAAATTCTGTCTAACGCTGAAATTCCACACAAGTAAGTAGTGACAATGCCATTTTACCGTGACAGGTTCAGTATCCTCATGAAAAAATAATTGGGCTGAGTCGATCCCTGATTACGAGTTAAACTTGCCACCAAATAAATTGTGAGCCAAATTGTCAAACCAACTGTGCCACTCGGGCAACATTCATTTTTAGAGTGGTACGTTAATGAATGCATGCATTCAATAACCTATTTATTATTCAACATTAAACGTCAATCGCTTAGATATTAAAATGGATAATTGAGGGCTTGCCATATAATCCTCACCGCTGCGGAAATACCACGAACACAAAAGCCACCGGTTTTGATATTCAACCAAGCTGACCTGATTTGTTTTTTTTCCCTCTTGGTCTTTTTTACATCCAACTTAGCAGCGGACACGTGGCATCACAGCCAATATCCCCCCCCCCCCCCGGGCCAGCATCTATTTAAGTCCCCGCCACCCTTCAACCAAGGCTACACGGTCACACCACAGCTCTCGTCTCGCATTTGCGATACGGATGCAGGTGTTAGGCCATTTCGCCTCCCCCCATGCCTCCTCCCACCTTCTCTGTGCGAGACCACGCACAGCAGCAGATGGTGAAGACAACGTGAGCGCCGTGGAGGTTCTGGAGGTTGTGGGGTGTGCCAGGGGTGCGTACTTCTTATTCCTCCTCGTGTCAGTGCATTTTCTCCGCACGGCATGGCTAACAGCCAAACTCCACGCAGTTCAGATGCCAACACTTTTCTGCTTTGTTTTGAGAATCCGTCTGAAATCCACGAATCCGCACCGCGAAAGTTTATCCGGCAAAGCAACCCCTTTTATGCATGAGCATCGACAGACAACCTTCTGTCCGATTGAATACGCTCTCCTCACTGCCATAAGTAGCTTTGCCATCGCACAGTCTAAAGCGACAGCTCCATTGAAGCGATACCCTTTAATAAAATCAAAAGGGAATGTCTGAGAAATGAGCTACCTGCTTTGTTACGCGAGGCAAGGCCAAAGAACGTTCAATCTGAATGAGCCCTCGTTGTCCATGTTATTGCGAGTGTCTGTGCAGACGACATTGTCGATGTGTTTAAAGCGCCGTGCAGTTGCCTGGAATGTAAATCATTCAAACCCTCCACCCACCCTCTCCATGCTCCATTCTCCCAGCTATTCAATAAAATGTCACAATTCCATTCGCCCAATGTGACATCGGTGTTTATTGTTCATACACTGTGAGTTATTATCATGCACACAATTGGATACATTATCGTAAGCATAATAATTTGTTTCAATAGATAAATTGATGCATCATTACGGTGCTCAGTGATCACGAGTGAAGGTTTACTGTTTTATGGCAGACACTGGTCTTGCACATGGCATTAATCTGTATTCGATGATTGTGGTATCACTTAAACACCACTGTTGAGGGAGGGAAGGGGAAACCACCTCAGCTGTCTTTCCCTGCATGTTATGGCTGCAGAGCAGGAGCATGGTGTGGTGAAGTGGAGAGGGTGAGTGGAATCAGATAGAAGAGAGGGAGCTTGAGCCATGAACCTGTCCTTGGGCATGGAACTAAATAAGAGGACAGACAAATTTTTCAATTTAAAGCTTTCGTGACTGCAGGGATTCATCGTCTTGGTTCTTTCGGTAAAGTCACCACCGCGTAGAAGGGAAACACCGAAAGAACCAAGCTGGACAGACATAGATTGTATACACGGGGGATGCGAAACTACCTTTGCAATGTGTAGTGCCAACGATTCAGAGAGAGTTTCTAGGAGGCACTTTCTTCATGAACAACTTTAACAGGTCTCGTCCGCACACTCTCCACAGTAGCTCAGCCTAGCCTGTACACAACACTAGTCGTCTAACACTGACGGCGCTGACTGAGATAGCCAACTACTATCCTTCGTAGCGGAGACGTTTAGCGACGATGACGATGAGACGACAGCGACGATGAGACGAGTCCACTCCCAGAACCGGCAGCCTCGAGCTCCCCGCTCTCGCCTCCTTTTATGCTCCCAGCGTAGCCTGGCTCCGCCCTGACCGCGCCTCCCTTCTCGAACCCGCTAGCAGGTTCCAGGGGCCTCCAGACGGGGTCTTCCGTGACCCTTGCCCTTAGTTCCTCCTCTCTGCCCACGCACCGTGCACGCCCTCACCGGCGTGTGTGCTGTCTGTCCACCACAGTTGCCGCTGCTGTCCACCAGCCAGCGCAATTACACTACACATGTATGCATGTTGAACTTTTTTCGCACCGTACATAGCCAACCGTGCTCATTGGAGGTGCGGAGTAAGGACGATAACATTAACGAAAAAAGCAGTTATAAAGAAATTAGTTTTCAATTTACATTTAAAATTGCATAGCTCCGCAATGCAGTCACTGTCATTGTTCAATTGTTAGCAAAAAGCTGCTGCGTGGATGGCCAGAGTTTGCGTGATGGTTTGTGCTCTTTGACGAGATAAGCAAGGTATTGTGGTTCATTTGTGGCAAACACTTTGTGTGTCAAGAGTGTGACGTTTTAATGGATTCGTTCGGCAACTGGAATCCAATGCAGCTCAGCCAGCATTGGACGGACATGATCTTGCAGTACCCGTCACGACACATTTTTTTTCTACACGCTGCAACTTGGTAATGTTTTAAGCTGGAACAATACTTTATTTTTGTACGAATGGACTCTGTTGCTCATTGCATTACCTGCACTATGTGAACACAAACATGTGTAGATAAGGCTGAAGGTATGAAATGTAATTATCAGAACTTGCACTCAGTAAGTGAACATTGACAAATATTGAGTGATAATGTATGTCCAACTCACGTCGCACAGTGCGTAGCCAACTGTGCTGATTGGAGGTGCGGGGCTAATCGGAGGTGCGGGTAATACGGTGCCTCCCCAAGTCACGGCTGTGTGTCACCAATTACCACTGCTTTGAGTCTCTCCTAAGGTCAACTCAGTCTAAAAAGAGAACAAGCTTTGCTGAGCAAACATTGGCACTTGAGATACAGATGCAACAAGCAATATGTTATGCTGACCACACAAATCCCGTGTGTGTTTGTGCTGGTCTTAATTGGTGGTCACTCCCACCACTTTCCTTGACAGTCAATATGATAATTATAATAGTCCAACGGTATTTAGCATTTACAAAAACGTTGAGTCTAGGGCACTTGAACCATTATGCAGTGTTATTGAGCACTATGCCAACCACTCCACACAGACACTACTATTATTGCGACAAGCGCTTTTAGTGACTTGCAGCCGCTTTGTCTCCTCAGTACTGACGTACTGATGTGTTAGCCATAGCCAGGAATTGCACGCAGCTACTGTGTCTGGTCTTGTAGCAAAGAGTGCGAATCACTGCACCACTGCTCCCCATTTCGCATACACACATGCGCATGCATATGTGCACGTATACCTACAAAACTCTGAATACCAAGTTACTCACGTCACTTGGTCCTTTTTTTCTCTCCAACATAAAAGAGTTTCTCATTTCGCTTGTCTGATCCTGTGGAAACTGGCCACTTGTGGGAAAATACCCATCACTCACTGACCACTCTTGTGCACACAGGCGAACAGTATGGTATTTACAAAGGGTGAGACGTGCACTCACGGAGATCTTGGTGAAGATGCAGAGGATGAGGTTCAGGAAGGAGAGGTAAACCCGCAGCCTCTTGCCTCCATGTCTCTTCTGCAGGTACTCAGGAGTCGTAACCACCTCCAGCCGTATGGAGCCACACAAGTTACACATTACTTAAGTGGCAGATGTAGTTTATACAAGACTATACGAGGCTTCAGTGAAGCATTGTGGCAGCAAAAAAAAATAAAAAGGTAGACAAAAGTTTGCTCACTTGTTAAACTGAAATTACATATCGTACATCAGCGGGTAAGGATGCTGCCATGGTGTACTGATTAGCACATTGGACTTGAAATTCAGTGGTCGCTGTTTTTTTTCTCCTGGCGCCGCAGTTTAAACAATTGATACTTTTTTTTTAAATCCCCTTTCCCCGTTTTTGCCACCCAGCAGAATAAATGGGTTCATCACAATTAATTGACCAGCAAATCACGCGTCGTGGTGTAAATGTTGGGTATTTACACGTCTTCCATCGTGGAAGGTCGGGTCAAGATTTGCCTCTAGAGGCACTCTCTAGAGCCCCTTCTAGACCACATCTTTAATTGCCGGACTGGGAGATCCACTCAGACTGAACAACTCTGGATTGTAAGTCTAGTGTGCGAAACATTACACCACAGCAGCAGTATAGATACACTAGTATTGTGTGTATGTATATTTGTCAGCACTAACCTTACTTCTGGCTAAATAATTCACGTCGCACATATTACATACATAAAACAAGAGCATCTGGGCATAAAAGTTTAATAGGACAAACCATGTCTGAAAATCATTGCACATGACAGTGGGTATCGGGGTCATTGACATATGTTATGTTCTAGAATGTGTTTGCTCTGATTTATCCAACCTGAGTATACTTAGATTTAGCTTCATTAAAGACTTGACATTTACGGCATCGCGTAATGGAATATTGACTGCTTACCCCAGATGTGATGTACACAGGAACGAATATCCAAGCCAACAATATCAGCGTGAAGAGACCCTGTAATAGTAATAGTGGAAATTAATAAATCACGTGGAGTTATGTCACGTATGTATGTGTGGATGCACGATGAAAAGTTGTATGAAATACATTGGATCGAGCATAGCACAGTAAATGAAGGCATTAAATCACTGCTTTTAAAGGCGACCACCATGCTTAAGGTGTCATAGGCGGTGTCAGCAGAGAGCCCTGAAGAAAACCCCGTGGTTGTATTGTACTTTATGTTTCCACAGCTCTGCTTCCCACCTTCACCAGTCTGCACTGTTCAGCATGGTGAAGTATAGTGTAATAACCCTCCATGTCCCACAGGGCATAGGGGAGTGGATTGACAATAGGGCTTCACAGGTGCATACATGTATTCACCACAGCGGAACTCAAATCATCCGTGGTGATATGGGGGGGGGGGGGACCATATAGCTGATTCTGTAATCTGTGGCAGCGGCGTGTGTAGCAGCGTGTGAGTTCTGCGTGAGTGTAAACTGTGCGTGAGAAAGTGTGAGAATGTGAGTGAGAATGAGCTGTGTGTGAGGTGCGTGTGAGTGTGTGTGAGCCGTGTGAGAGTGAGACGTGATTATAATACTTGTGTGTTGTAAGGGCCATGGTTAGTGGGTGGTATTTTTTGTGGTTGCGGCAAATTGATTATCCTGTAGTGATTTGCTACTGTGGTGTAACGGTGTCGCTTATTTTGTCTTTTGGTGGTTGTGAGCATTTTTCCGGCGGACGTAACTAGGTAAGGCCGTAGGCTTTCAGTTACCGTAACGGCCTCGTGCTTTAACGGGTAAGGTGAGCTTTCCCCGGCAGGAAAAACTAGGTAAGACCATAGGCTTCCATTTACTGTAGTGGCCTAGTGCGTGCTCCGTCCACTGCTGCCCTAAGGGAGAGCCACGCTCTCTCAATTGCTGCCCTGAGGGAGAGCCGTGCTCCGTCCACTGCTGCCTTGAGGGAGAGATGCGCTCTGTCCACTGCTGCCCTGAGGCAGAGCCGTGCCCCGTCCACTGCTGCCCGGAGGGAGCCCCGTGCTCTCCACTACTGGCTTGGGGGAGAGCCGCGCTATATCCACCGCTGCCGTGAGGGAGCCAGACTCTCTCTCTCTCTCCACTGCTGCCCTGAGGCAAAGTTGTGCTCCGTCCACTGCTGCCCTGAGGGAGAGCCATGCTCCATCCACTGCTGCTGCACCGAGATGTCGCGGGCGCTGCCCCAGAGCAAGGAGGCGCTGCTGCAGTCGTTCAACAAGCGGCTCAAGGACGACTTGCGCTCCATCCTGGACAACTTCACGGAGATCGTCAAGACGGCCAAGGGTCGTGAATGAAGAGTCCCCTGTGTGGGCTTCAGTGGGGCCGTCTGGTCGGGCAGCAGAGACACGAGAGGCCAAGAAACGACTTCCCAGTCGTGGGCTGAGCTCAAGGAGGGCTAGCTCGAGCACCATCCTGTGGCGGGGAAAGGAGGTGGTGCAAGCGGTTCAGCCGAGCCCACAACAGCCAAGAATCTGGGGGTGGGCGTTGTTCAACCCTAGCACATGGGCGAGAAGCCGTGCATGTGTGACGAGTGCGGCAAGACGTTTTTCTCGCGCTCGGCCTACAAGTATATATATATTTTTTTCTTTTCCGTTTGTGTGTTAATCTGTATATACCCCGGATATTTTAAAGATGGCAATTCTCCTGCTGTGTATCATACTGCTGTCCCTCCCGGCCATATCTAGTGCCACACTCAACTCTACAAACGGTTACCCTCGTTACTTTGCGTCCATACTTGTTGCTCGATTTGCCACTACACCTGAAAATGAAACAGCTCATAGACACTTCTACACTCCATCATTGTATCCTTTTAAACGCTATCTTTGTCCCATTACTTCATTCTGCTCTTAAAAATAGCACCATCTGCAACCTGCTGCTATTCGTCCAAGGTTCGCCGCTCTTCATCGTTTCACAGAAAATACTTGTGCAAACTATGAATTCTACTTTTATTATTTCTGGGTGGTATTAAGCTTCATCCTGGCCCAAATGTAAGGAACTCGTATCATTCTGTTGATTTTTCTGGCAGAATAGGTGTTGGTGTTTTACATGTCAACATCAGAGGGCTTGTGATTAAATTAAGTCAACTAAAACTAGAAGTGGCAAATCTTGACCCGGACATTTTTTTCCTAACAGAAACATTTCTCACTCCTGCCGTCAATGACTTGCAGATTACGATTGACAACTACAACCTTTTTCAGCTTGACCAAGGATCTAAAGGAGGTGGAATTGCCATCTATGTTCGTAATACTATTGCATGTTCACCAGCTCACTCCTTGATTAAAAAATGTTGCTTTGAAGGTCTGGTTCTCAGAATAACTCTCCCAATTAATCAACAGATATTGGTAGTGTGCTGCTATAGACCGCCTAGTGGGAAGGATGTTGAAGCTGCATCTGCACTGAGAGAGCTTTTTGGGGGCCTCCCTAGAGGTGAAATAGTTTTAGTGGGTGATCTAAATTGGAATTGGCTAAACCCGCCGGCCATAGCCACAAATATTACAGATGGATTAACCCGTTTCAGTTCATAAATGTCCCCACAAGACCTAACCTAAAAAATCCGGGACAGTCAACTCTGACGTCCTATTGACAAATGCCCCTCACAATTTCGCACTGACTGGTGTTCTGGGTAATAACCTTAGTGATCACTCCTTCATTTTTGGGGTGAGATCATCAGCCAAACCCAAATTGGTTGAGAAGCACTCTTTGAGGCACTTCAGCACTCAGGCATTTACTAATGATGTGCTTCACTCGGATAATGACAAGGTCTGTGATATCCCCAACCTGACTATGGCTTGGGAGGCCTTCAGGTACACGTTTCTCCAAATTCTTAACAAACATGCTCCGTTGGTTAGACTTAAAACTAAAGGCAACCGCCCACCATGGTATGATCCTTTGATTACAAAGCTCATGAAAACTAGGGACAAGGCTTGGGCATGTGTTCAGAAAAGTAATTTGGTCAATGACTGGCTAGAATACAGTATTTTAAGGAATAGATGCGTCAAAAAAATACGGCATGCAAAAAATGCCTACTTTTCCTCCACTCACCTGGAATCACATGGAAATGCCAGGATTTTTTGGAAAACAATCAAATGTATCGAAAAGGCATCCAAAACATAATCTGCCCGTTGAGCTTAACTGAAATGGGGAATATTTTTCAGATCCCAAAAAAATAGTTGACAATTTTAACCTTCATTTTTCTGAAGCTGGTAATCTTTTTGATAATGTATTGGGAGTCACCCCTGCTCATGCAAATTCCTACACCCCTGTCCAAACATTAAACTAATTTAGTTTCCAGCCAATCCACGAAAGTAATGTTCTGAAACAACTGTCCTACCTCAAAGGGTCCTCCTCTACCGGAGCAAATAGTATACTCGTCTTTGCTCTACTAACTGTTGGTCACCTAATATACAAACCTATAGCCCATATTTTCAACCTGTCCATCAAAGAAGCATCAGCTCCTCTAGAATGGAAACATTTCTATGTCCGTTCACTTTACAAAGGGGGCCCTAAAAATGATCCCAATAACTACCGACCTATCTATATTTTGTCCCCATTGATGATTTTTTTTTAAATTATTGAACTACCAAATTAACAGTTTCCTGTCCACCAACAATCTACTACATCTAAAACAATCTGGGTTTTTGATACAGTAGACCACAACACCCTGCTTAGTAAACTAAGTTGCCTCGGTTTTTCCGAAAACAGTAAAATGCTTAACAAATTACCTCTTTTCTCGCACCCAAACTGTATTCACAGATGGTTGGAGGTCAAAGTGTTAATATAACAAAAGGGGTTCCACAGAGTTCCATCCTCGGCCCCCTCTTGTTCTCTCTTTATGTCAATTACTTGGGCACTGACCTGGATCATTCCAGGGTAAATCTTTTTGCAGATGACACGATACTGATTGCGGCTGGCCGCTCTCCGGATGCCGTGATTGCTAAGCTCCAGGGTGATTTCAACAAACTACAAAATCAGCTAGTTGCTCTTAAACTAGTCCTGAATACCTCCAAAACCAAAGTGCTATGCTTCTCACCAGAACTAAAGCAGGAAGTTATTTTTCCCAAATTACATTCCTTAAATAATTATCAAATAGAGCAAGTCAAGATCTATAAGTATCTTGGGGTCATCCTGGATTCAAAACTGAATTTTGAAGATCACATTGATTATATTGGTAAGAAGACAAAAATACAAATTGGTTTTCTGTATCGACACAAGCACTGCTTCCCCCCAATGTTCCGTTTGGAATTGATAAAACCTACCATACTGCCTCTACTTGACTACTGTGACATCGTGTATAAATCAGCCCCAAGTACTGTACTGAAGAAGCTTGATTCCATCTATCACTCGGCCTTAAGATTTGCATTGGACTGCCCATATAGGACTCACCACTGTGATCTCTACATTGGGTCAAACTTAACATCTCTTAATGTTCGACGACTTGTGCACCAGATCTTATTTATTCACGATGTACTTACAAAAAAAATCCGCAGACTACCTGCTGGATCTCCTCTCTGTTTCAAAGAACAAATTTGACCTCTTCGCTCATTTACCAGCTTCACATTCCCTATTGCCGTACAAAAAACTGGAGGAAGGGCCTTTGCTATTGATGCCCCCAGGGTCTGGAATGTTATTGCCAATAAACTGCAACTTGAATCACTACCTATGAGATCTTCACTCAAAACTGCTCTAGAGGAGTTGTACACCCCTAGCTGCTACTGCTATTCAGTGGCCTAAAATAAAATTAAATGTTTCGCTCCGGATGACCGCTGCAAAGTATTTTTATTTAGTGTGCTGATCTTAAAAGGTGCATTGAAAAATGTGATACTCTGACTGATGCTCCTGTTGTTGTGGAGTGACTCATGCAGCCAGCTATGGCTCTAGGGTTTGGTGTTACATGTTATTTATGTAGTTTATTGTTAAAATTTCGATCACAGTCCCTATGATCACTGTTACATTGCATTTATGGCTTTATTTTGGTGATTTAGAAAA